CAGAAATCAGGACAAAACTCAAGCAATATCCCTGGCAGAAACAAAGTCGGTTCTGCTGTGCAGGGTGCTGTCATGTTTTTGTACCACACACACACCAAGGGATTATTACATTTGCGTCCCAGAAATTGGACTGAGACTCTCGCTCATCCTGCAGCACGACGCAGGTAACGACAGGGGCTCTAATGACACATCAAAGGCTTTGCTAAGCTCCCGGTAACCATGAGAACGAAGCCGAAGTGGTTTCTTGTACCGTCAGCCCTGAGAGAGGTGTGTTTAGCCTGATTCATGCTTCTTGCCGTTGTGTTGAACTGTTCAAAGGACTTCCCATGACTTTAAAGAGAAAAACATGGTTTCTGTCCTGGATGTTCCACTTTAGGTGCCATTGTGCCAGCAAAGTGAAGAGAAAACATGAGGAGTTTGAGGTTTGATTTCAAGACAGTTCTGCATAAATTATTGCTAGCATGATGTGCCGTTGCGGTGAATGTGCCACTCGGACAGGTGCGATTGCTGACAGCTTGGCTATTTTTCACATGCTGTTTAGGCTTTATAATAACATTTCAGGGCTCAGATGGCTGGACCTGAAGAGGGCATTGGAGCAAAGAAGCAAACCTCTGTGGCTAGCTGGCCATAAGCTCCCTTGCGCAGGGAAAGGGGCAAAGATGAGAAATTCTGCAACAGGCCTTTTTAGCCAAATGCTGCAGAGGCTGTGGTAATTGTCTGGGAAGCGAGATACATCCCTCTTAGTTTGACATTTCGACATTTCATTAGGCAAAGCATATGGTGCTGAGAAGTCCTTCGACAGCAACAGGAGGTGGCGGGGAAGGCCGGCGGAGCAGGGGAGCGGAAGGGGAATGTGGGGCATTCTTCTGAGCAGTGATTGATTCCACAGCTTACCTAAATACCTCTGCTAATTAGTGCTCAGAAAGATAAGTGAGTGCAAGAGAGGCTGCAGGAGAGGGGCAAACGATGGCTGAGGGATGTGGGGGGCAGAGGGGTGAGCAGCAGTGCACGCACTCTGGTCATGGGCAGGGCATCCCAGGGAGCCAGCACACCCCGGCACCTGCGGGGGCAAAGCGAAGGGGCTTCAGGCAAGGGAGAACACCTGGGAGGGGGAATGCCTGTATTGCTTCCCTCTTCGGCAGGGAAGCTGACTCCCTTCATGTGTTACCTGTGAACGTGCTGACTTCTGGCTGGCTGAAGTTGCTGAACCAGACTCAGCCTGCTGGAATGATATGGCATTTTCTTTTTTATTTAGTTTCAGGAGACTTAAAAGCACCTTTAGTTTTAAGTGGAGAAGTGGCAGATTAGGCTGCTTTTTCAGTGGTTTGTTAATGGATTTATTGGGGGGTTGTTTACTGGGTCAGCTAATAAAACACACCTTAGATTTAAAATGCAGTTGGTGCATTCCCACACACCTCTAGTGATCCAGCATCTGTATAAAGTTGTCTCCTTCCCTTGACAGCACTTGCTTTTGTTGCCCGTGGCTTGGAGAGGGCAAGAGGGTATGGCCAAGACCAGCTTGTGCCCAGCTGGTCTCTGCTGCCATCCTGGCCCCCTCTGAGGCTCTTTCTGGCTGCTCTAAATGGCATTCAACCGCCAGACCCACAATCTGCAGTCCTTTCAGTTGTTAAACCTTATTCATAGTGGCTGTTGATCACAGACAAGATTTGCAAACAGTACAGTGGATGCAAAAGGCCTTTGTGGGGTTTTGGGGGGAGTTCAGGGTACATCAGGAGGAAAGCACTGATCAGGGGAGAGGTCCCTTGGAAAAGCCACCTTTGGGAACACCCAGCTAAGAGCCTTCTGAAATAAAGAAGTAATTAGTGAAGCAAATAAGGGAATAGGAGGGTAAAAAGGAAGTCTTGTGTGGCCTGCTGAGGGACACAGGGGAAATGCATCAACATTTCTTTTACACAAGTGACAGTGACAAATATTAGAAGCAAAAAGTCCATTGCAGTTGGAAAGGACACAGAAAGTATTGAATGGTAAGATCTGCAAGGACACGCTTGACAAGCTTGCCAGCCATGAAGCTCCCCAAGTGAATTTTGAGCTGACAGAAGCAAGCAACACAAAAGAAACAGAACAGAAGGAGCAAGGCTGTTGAGTGCACACCTTGCTGCCAGGTTTTCATATCTGCTTCCTGAAATCCTAATCTTCATCCAGATTACAAAAGAGAGGCATCAGAACAAGTGAGCAACTTGTTCATGATGGCCTTTGAGTGTCCAGAAGAAAATCACTCCAACAATGTGCTTGTAGGCTTGTCAAAATCGCTGTCAGTCTTTCCATTGACTTCAGTGAGTCTTGGTTGAAGTCCTAAAGATGAGGTCTTCTCTCTCATGTAAAACAGGTACATTCATTTCAGAAGTAGAGAAGAGATCAGCAAGTCAGAAAGAATGATTTGTTTCTGAGGAAGTTACATTAGCCACATAGTGGTTCTTGGATCGGCTGAGGAAGCCAAGCTGGGGCCAGACGTAATGCAAGCAGGACAATCATCATCACCTTGTCAGTAAAATAACAGGACATAGTGACCAGCGTCCATGTACATGGATTCAGAAAGGATTGTCAGATTCAGAGTAGAAAAGGTCCTTGGTCTCTGGTGCACTCAATCACCTAGATATAGTCTCTAATCATGGAAGCCATAAGCCACCAGCTGCTAGCAGGCAACAGCAAGGTGTGGTTTGCTCTGAATTCACTTTTCTTCAACAGATTTCATACTTCTCTATAAGTATCCACTGGCTTCCCCTACCAGAGGTGGAGTTAGCCTGCACTGACCCAATAAAACTGTTGTGATTAACTTGGCCAGAGTATGGAGCATTGCATCAGCCATGGTTGGGCTGTGAGCCCTTGGGACCCAACAGTGAATGGTGACTCAACAGCCAGCCCCTCAGAGCTTCAGTGCAAGTAGTCCCTATGGGGCGTACAGGGACCATGTCCTGCTGATGCTGAACAGCATGATCAGCTGTTTATCAGGACCAAACCTGTCCTGATTGTGGGAGTTGCTTTTATAGGGTTTTTTTTTTTCCCCATGAGGTAGTTCCTGGGGTACAGTGGGGTGGATGTGCCCAGTGGAGACAGGACAGTGGTACCTGGCACTGAAAAACAGCAGAAATGAGTCTGTGTTGCATTAAGGAGCAGGGAGGTACCACTGAAACACTGTGGGGCTGGGTTCAGAAGGTCTGCAGGAAACTCACTGCTTTCCTTTGCTGGCTCATACAGGAATAAGGCGTAGACTTCCCCATGGTGCGATCTGCTCTGCAGCACTCTGACCCCGGTGACCACTGCAGAGGGGTCAGATGCCTCACCTCCCAGACATTCCCAAAGACTGGGTTAACGGGGCTTTAAAGCCCTGCTGTGGGTACTGCCGGGGCTCCAGGTCACGCAGGAGGGTTTTGGTCACCCAGCCCTGCCCCATCGAAGTTAACGGCAGCTTCCAGCTCTGCTCCTCCGCTTCTTGAGCCTGTCCCTCGCGGGGATGCCAGCTTTCCTAGACCCTCTAAAAGAAGCAAATGAGGCTGGACATGGGTCTGAAATCATGAGGTTCATTTCCTCACCTGGCAGAGCAAAATTCACAGCTGGCGGAGAGTTTCCAGCGCAGGTTCCGACAGGGAGCAGCTGTGCAGGAATTTGCAGCTCCTCCATCTCTCACTTGCGCTGGTGCCCACCTGTCAAGGCACCGTCTGCCGCCTGCAGCCACCGTTGCTGCAGCCTTGGAGACCCCCTGCCACCTCCAGGCCACGGTGTTTCGCCCACAGGGGGTTTTAGAGCGATTTGTGAAGTGCTTAGTTTTGTCCACCGAATTTTTTTATGCCAAGTTTAAAAAACAGTCCTCTTTTTTTTTTTTTTTGTAGAATCATTTAAGGTTTTTCCACCTGAAAGAAACAACTTTTCTTTTTCTTTTCTTTCTTTTTTTTACTTCTTTGCTTTTAGCAAACAAAATCTGAACCCTTCACTTTTTTCAGGGTTTGTTTTGCATTTGACTAAGTTTTAATATTTTCTCTGAAGAATAACTTACCTGAACGTTTTTCCAGCTGAAGGAAAATATCTCAATAGAAGCTTTCCACTGTGCTTCTTGACCTGAATTTTCCACAAGCCACAAGCCTTAGGTCTGTGAGTTTGCCCTTTGCATCCCTCTGTTGCTCCTGTCATGGTTTGTTATTTTGCTGAGCCATCAGAAGTGGGTCTTTTTTTCTACAAATGGTTCCTTCAGAGAAGATTGTATTAGATGTCTCCTGGGAAGCCATCTGTCCTGACTCCCCTTCCTAGGCTGCAGGCTTTGCAATACTTCAGGAAGGAACAGGAGCTTAGAGCTGCCTTTTTTAGAGCCTTTTATAACGGATCCTTTTATTCCTGGCCTCATGTTCTGCAGCACACTGCTTTTATGGTTGTGCCTTCCTCACAAAACCACTTCCTGGCAAGGTATCCTACCGGGATTTGGTGGATGTGTAAAGCACACCAGTTGTCCTGCACCCCACCAAACAGCCCCAGGACACACAGTTCTGCATCTGCCCACAGCATCCTCTGCAGTGCCACCAGTGAGGGAGGAGCAGGCGGAGTTGGGATGAGGTGCCCCACATGCTCCCTGGTGCAACACCTGTGACTTCATGGCTCTGACTGACTTTGTTCGGCAAGCCCAGTAGTGCTGTGGCTTTCTGACTGAACAATCTGCCAGCCCTCAGCTCCTTCCAGACCATAGGGAAGAACAGGCCATGTTCCGTGGAAGCTCCTTCCCTCTGCTTTCCAGCATGGTCCATGGGATGTCCTCTGGCCCCAGGCATTAATGAGTTCTTTGTGCACTGAGCAAACAGAAGTCCTGGGCTTCAACAGATTTTCTGATTGCACTGAGTGGATAAAGATGAACTCAGTCAATACGGTTGAGTTTATACAATGGGAAAGGTGGCCAGATCTGTGTGCCTGCTGTTCTCTCCACAGCCGATGGCCTTCTGCCCGGAGACAGAGGTTAGTGACCACATTGTGGCCTTTGTCGCCTTTGATGGATGCAGGGCAAAGATGCCGTGGCAGAAGGGCCAGGTGGGAGTCTCCGCAGCCATGTGTTTCTGATCATCCCTTTGTTTTCTCTTGTAGGCTAACGATTCATGCAGAGTGCCCCATGCACCTGGAGGACTTCCCAATGGATGTGCATGCTTGCCCACTGAAATTTGGGAGCTGTAAGTACCCTGATCAGCCTCTGCAAGGAGGTGGGTACAGAGCTAAAGAACAGTCCTTTGTGTGCCTAGTGTTTTCCGTATTTTAGTAACAGTATTATTTTGTTGCTATTGATAATGTGAACAATGTGTGTTTCTGGTGTCTCATACATGCAATTCCTACCATGATCAGAAATGGGCAGCAAGCAAATCTGTGGTCAGTTTAGGCTCACAGGATGGGTTAGACACCTGTGGTTTTGCTATAAGTTTATTAGGGAAGTGGGAAGAGCAGCTTCCCGTTGCCCTCCCTGCCTTTGTTGAGCAGTGCTGCTTCAGCACTGCCTCAGCTGGACCGGCGTTGGTGGAAACCTCAGAGATGCTTTTACTTCACCAAGGTGATCCTGGAGGAACTTCCTTCCTCCTTGGGAAGACAGCAGTGGTGTCTGCTGCTAGGTGTCCTGTCCAGCCTCCCTACATCACTCTTGCCAGTGTGGGGAGAGCCTGAAATCTCTGGTTGCTCTGGCTGTATGCTTCAATGGAGCTTACAAATCCCTTGCTCCTCTTCAGTCTGTCAGGCAGGCTGCTCTCAAGTAAAAGGCTGGGAAACTTTGGGAATCTCCAGTCCTAGCACCTAAGCGTCCTGGTTTAGGGAAGATTTGCAGGCTGCTGGTGAGCTGAAAGCTGCTCCCAGCTTCCCAGGCTTGCAGCTGCTCATCTGCCTGGGTTTCCCATACCCAGCCTAGGAACAAGTTCTGTCTTCTCTCCCATATGCAAGTTAATTAAATTTCTTTTGATTTTGTTCCTAAAGTGAGGGGGAACCAAATTCCAAGCCACAGGTTCACCATAATGTGGAAATAAATCTCCTAGTCCCGCTCTGCCTGGAGTATCCTCCAGGTCCGACGAACTGACCACCACTCTCAGACAACATTTGCGTTAGATGGAAGAGTTACTCACCTCCAACTAAAGAATGAGCCCCCACCAGTAAGTCCCCTTTTGGACTCGAAGAAAACAGAGAAATCACAACCTTTCTAAACCAATACTTCCTTCCTGTAGCCATTTGGGAGTTAACAAGGGAGAAAGCTGAAGTTTGATTGACACCAGAAGAAATCATGTTTATCATGTGCATCTGCTCCTCTGCCTCATGACAAAATGCATCTATGAAACTGGATTATTCAGAACTACTAAAATAAAGTTATTTCCTAGGCAGCACCTAATTAAATGCAAAACTTATTGCCACCAGACATCAGTAAGGCCAGTAAGTAAAATAGCAAGCCGTAGAGAAAGATGAATTATTAATGTTAATTGAACTTGTGAGAAGGGATATAAAATCTCATACCTCAGGCCTAAACTCTGGGATTATTAGAAGACTTGCAGGAAGGCAGATTACTCCACATCTAATTGCTTATAATGTTTCTTGGTGAGGAAAAGAGATTAATGTGCATATTTCTGTTGGAACACCCTTTGGGGTTCTTCTGGGTATTTTTACTCATTTGGCATCTGAATGATGAGAGTTTTGACACAAGCAGCTCAGAGAGCTGCCCCTAATTAACATTAGTACAGCTCTTTCTAAAGCACCCATCCACATAGTATCTGAGCTAACCTCTCCTATGTTGGAGTAGGATTAAACTAGTGTTTGCACCAAAAAGCTGTCAATACCTGGAAGCTGCTCATTTGCAAAACGCTTAGAGTGGGTCAGATTTGTAAGTAGAACAACAATGCCAGAGCCAGACACATGCTGTTCAAAGGACAGCTGAATTTGCCTCAGTGATCACCTTCTAGTGGTCTCCACAGCCTGAATGGCTCATCAGTGGCTTCCACTCTCTGTGCCACCATGGCAGCCACCCAAAAAGGGAAGGCAGAGAGCTTGCAGGAGAAGTAAGGGCATCAGGCATTCAGATAGATAGCTTCAACTGCCCACCTGCATCATTCCTTGGACCAAGTGCAGGGAAGGTGATGACTTTACCTATCACCATGCTCCCTAGAGGATGGATGTATGCAGCAGAGAACAACTGTTTCTAAGCCAGTCATAGGGCATTTGTACAGCAGCTGCCTGAGATTAGGCTAGCAGAAGATGTTGCTGAAGTTACCAGCTCCACTAAATGTCAAAGAGCTGTCCTTGTTTGAATTAGACTAAACTGCACTGCAAGTGAGGCATTGAGCAGAACCAAAACAGCTTCATGGCATTTAATATGTTCCAAGCATCCATACCATGCCTGTGTGACACCAGATACACTTCTGTCCCAGACGAACAGGTATGTAGGCAGCTGCGTTTTCAGGGATAATGGCAGTGAAACTGTGGGCAAGCTTCCTTTGTAGACTGAGAGTGGCAGCGGGTGAACCATAACTGCTAGAGCGGAAGGTGCTGCCCCTCAGGCAGAAGACCATTGGCAGAGCTGTACAAAGCTAAGCCTGAAGGAGGATGGTGGTCTTCGGAAGCATGTTGAGAGCTGGAAGGAGGGGTTGGAAAAGCAGAGTGTTGCACATTGGATGGGAGGTGCCAGCGTCAGAAGTGCTTAGGCAGCACACTGACATGCTGAGAAACATTGGCTGATCATCAAAACCCCTCCCCCCACTTTGCACAGCACCTACTTAGTATTTCACAGGTTTGCCAAAACCTACAGTGCAGGCATAACAGCGGTTGTTTTAAAAAGATCAGAGAAATCTGGTTGTCTCGGGACACAATCTTCCACAAAGCTGAGACATCTCTGTAGTAGACCTGACCCATTGCTTGACCTGACCCCAGCCAAAGAATTCCTTAACATCTTAATAGGAGAAGCTGGTGGTAAAAATTAATTAAAAACTTGTTTTAGTGAGCTTTGTTCTTGCCTAAAAAAATGGTGCAGATTGGGCACGGACAGGAAGCTTGGGCATTATGGGGACAAGTAGCTCCTAGTAGAGTCTGGAGAGACTCCATTTCTGGATACCAGAAATTGATACCAATTCTGGCAAAACCAAGAGCATGCGGGCACTGTTGGGAAAGGGGGTGGCTATGAGGACAAGCAGCAGTTTGGTCACAAAGGCTTGTGAAGGTAATGATGTGTGTGGTAGAGAGAGGTGTTTGCATATGGGGAGTTGGGCTGGTGGGGTAGGGAGGGGAACTTGGAACGCCCTGGAAGGATGCCCTGGCCCTGAGCCCCACACAGTCCCTGCTGTTTCTCTTGCAATGTGCGGGCAGGCTTTTCTCAGCACTGCCCTCCCTTGCTGCCTGGCGCATTGGCCTGGAGGCTGGCAAACACAGGGTCATGCAGGGGAAAAAGCATCTTCGTGGGCGGGCCCACCACCTCCAAAGCTGAGAGGCTTGGAGAAGGTTGCTTCTGAGTGAGGGTAAACATTTTTAACTTTTCCTCCTTAACCTAAAATTCAACCCCATTTGTGTTTAGCCTTTCTTGCCAGCTGCTGCCAGCATGGCCGTCCGGGTCCCTGGCACGGCAGGGCTGTGGCCATCCTGCTGCCCCAGCAGCCTGCTGGTCTGGACACCTTCCTACCTTGTCTCTGCTGGGAGCCAGCCCTTGCAGAGTCAGCACATCAAGAGGACAGTGCGTCTCTCAACAGCAGTGCTCTGCCCCTCTTCCAGCTCCCTTCCAAAAACCCCAGCTCCCTTTTGCTCCTCTGATTTAACAGTTGCTGAACTGGCTTGGTCTCTGGCCGTGCTTGGCCGTGCTTGGCCATGTGGCTCTGAGGAATGCACAGCAGGGATTAGTTTGGCTACAGGCTAATTTTGGTATATAATTTTTGGTAATAATTTTTGGTTCAGGAAGAAGTACAAACCTCATTCTTCTTTCTCCTCTGCAGATGCCTACACAAAGACAGAGGTGATCTACACATGGACACTGGGGAAGGATAAATCAGTGGAAGTAGCGAAGGGTGGATCTCGCCTGAACCAGTATGACCTGCTGGGCCATGTTGTTGGGACAGAGATGGTTCGATCCAGCACAGGTACTTGTGGGACCATGATGTGATGCAGGGACTGAGTGCACTGTCAGACAGATGGGCCCGTGGGCTTTGAATGCCACGATTTGGCATAATTATAGAGGCAGTACCTGTGGGCGGTGAGCACCACAGTACTTCCCAGGCCATGTGCTGTTGGAGAATATGGCTGGGTACATCTGGAGCAGTCACCAAGAGGCAGTAAAGGGTTTAGCTTTTAGTGGTTCCCACTGAAAGAGCCTTATTGCCCATACCCTCTAGAAAACTGATTTCAAGCATCTAAAAATGATCTTTTGTGTGGAAAATTTGCCTCACCTTGTCCAGCTGGTTCTTGCTACTGTGGGTTCATTTGTCTTGGATCCCTTTCCAGTCCCTCAGGAGAGCACTGAGGGCAGGAAAGGCGAATGCAACATAACGTTCAGTATGATTTTCACTGCATCTGCTTACACAAATATTATCATAGCTAATAGAAGATTATAAAAAACAAATGTTTCCTCTGATTAATGACCAATATTAATCATCTTTCTCTTCCATCTGCTGCTCCTCCCTTCCCCTCTGAATTCAGGTACTGATAGCTTCTGTTATCTCGTGTGTGTGTCTCATATTTTTTTTTTCTTTTTTTTTTTTTTCCTTCTGTATGCACCAGTAGTTCTCTCATTTGAGAATATTTCCCCTATGGTGCACTTGATTTTAATAGTGTCTGTCTGTAACAACTCGTATCACCTCCCTTGGGGAAATGTGGGGAGTCCAGGGAACTAAATGTCATAATATCTGGCCCATCTCTCTACTTAGGTTGTAGTAAAATGTACGGATGAATAACCTGAAGTGGCAAGAAAGCTGCTAAAGGTTCCTGTGTGTAATGATTTAGCAGAGCCACGCTCACAACAAAAAGGCACAATAATCTAACAAAATATCCACAGGAGGAATAGGGCATTGAGGGAAAATAGGGTCAGCTGCTTCTTTGGTTTACAGCCCAGATCTTTAACGACAGAACTTGCCCTGATTTTTGAGATGGTTACAGTGAGGAAAGATGGAATATTTTCAGAATTGTCATTGAAAATAAAATCCTTTGTCCTGAAATCCTACTGAAGTACTGTTAGGGTTTCTCCAGGCTTAAGGGATCTTACCCACAACGTGGCTCCCTGGGCTGGAGCAGAAAAGGGATGGGAGCCTGATAGGGAGGGACCCCCAAGAGGTGTCTTGTGCCTGGGGTGAAACAAGGAAAGCCCATTGCCCAGTTGTTTATTGGCATTGATTTGCTTTTGTCCCTCAACCGTTTTGTAGTGAATTAAAGAAGTCTCCAAAGAAGTGTTTTGAAAGAACAAGTGCTATGTGGAAGTCACCCAGGCTACACTGGGACTCGCGCCTGGTGTGGCACAGCATCTGCATGTGGATGCGCGGGACATGCACGTGTGCTGACAGCATGCTCCCGCGTGCACCCCTCCGCACGGCTGTGGAGTGGCCGGCAGTACTGTAAGATCCCGGGGTGTGCCAGCCAGTGACAATGGGAAACACACGCTGCAGTTACATCTAAGAACGTGGAAGTTTGTTCAGGACAGATCTTTAGTGGTTTAGAGAAGGATTGGGGGTCACCTGGCCCCATCCTGGAAGGTGCCAGCAGCTCAGCATCTCTAACCGGCTGTCTCTGCAGGGGAGTATGTCGTCATGACCACACACTTCCACCTCAAGAGGAAGATTGGGTACTTTGTGATCCAGACCTACCTACCCTGCATTATGACGGTCATCCTGTCCCAGGTTTCTTTCTGGCTTAACAGGGAGTCCGTTCCTGCCCGAACGGTTTTTGGTGAGTTTTTGGTGATGCATGGGGGCATCCTCTCAGGTGGGAGGAGAGAAGCACCACAAATGAGGGGAAATAGATTGAGCATCAGAGCTGGTCTTCTCCAGGCCTTGACCAGCATCAGTGAAGCTGCCGGCCGTTTCGCAGAATAGCTCTCAGTGTCTTCCCAGTGTCCCTGCTTCCACTGAATCACTGCAAAAATACTCCTGTCCATGTTTCTGCTGCAAGCCAAGCCATAAATATTAACAGTAATCAAGGTATTGATCACCTAATTATATGCATTTGGCTACGTCTGCTTATCTGTATTGGCTTTTCAGTTGAGAAGAGGATATGTACATGGGGAGGCATTTAAAGCTCTACCTTTGAAATTGCTAATGTGCCCCTAGTCAGAGCTCCACATAACAAGTTCCTGGGCCAAGGCAGTGTAATTGCATGGTAAATATATTGTTATTATTTTCTTCAGCTGGTTTCAGATCCTCTCTCCGAGGCAAAGTGTCAGACTGGCATTGCACGTACATTAATAGCTTTTACAAACATTTAATAACAGAATTGCTTTGTGCTTTCCTGACAAAACCTTTAGTTCAGGATCTACACACACTCTCGCAGACCGGGTGTGATGCTGCAGGATTGTATTTCCTGGAAATAACAGTGCCCAGCAGATACCACTAAACAGAGTATATTGAACAAAAGTCACCAAGCAGAGAGGGGATATGGTACCACCTGCTCGTGTTTTTGAATAATACAGAAGGTGGTGTGGTTTCAAAGATTATGAAGCATTTTCTCTGTAGCAAGAGTCGTGATAGAAATACTCCCACAAACCCAACAAGGCCAATGTCCTCCTTTCTGGACCCTCTCCACAGGCCTTCACTGAGGGTATTTGATTCCCTCCTGTGTTATCCCGATATTTGCAATTAGACAAGTTTCCTTGAGTAGCAGCTCAGATTGAGCAGGAAAGAGCTGACTGAAAAATTAAAACCTACCTTTGTGAAAAATGTCTTTGCTCCCAAATTGCCTTGCTTTCCTATTAAGAAAATAATGAGAACTCCAATTGTTTATTCCTTTTTTTTGCCCCTCAGAAAGTATTGTCAACAGTATTATTGAAACTCTTCAATTACCAGCAGTATGGCCTAAGGGAAGTGAAAATTAGTCAATATTTTTTTTAATGTTTTTAATGCATTTTTAATTGAAAAGCACATTATTGGGGAAAATGGATAGCAATGGTTGCTTGCTTTAATGAAAAAAGCTTTAGAAGACATTTTGCAACAGATAATGTTTTTAAGATAAATCATAGTGACACTCATTCTGGCAGCTGGCGCCGGCAGGACTCAGGATCCCAGGTGTCCATCCATGCGGGTCGCAAGACACTATTTCCAAAATGTTGAGAGAACCGCATTGGATGAGTGACCTGTTTCTGGTCCTCCATGAAGTTCCCAACCATCTAGCTGTCCTTTTTACTGTTATTTTATTATTTTTATTTCATTGCAAAAAAAAAGTAACCAGAGGCTTCTGCATGGCATATTCTACATGAGAAAGCTGGGTCTAGCATCAAGCAACTTCTCCTACTAGCAGACAAGGAATTGAATGTGGGTGCCTGCCTATGAGCTAGGACTCTTTTATAGTGAGCAGAGGTCTAGTCAATGGAGTTTGGGGAAGACTAATCTCATCCTAATGCAGATGTTTCCCACTGATTATATGAATTGGGCATATTCAAAACTGAACCAGAGAAGGCCCTGAGCAACCTGAAGTTGGCCCTGATTTGAGCAGGGGTTGGAGAAGCGGACTTCCCTTCCAACCTGAACTGCTTCATTATTCTATGAATTGCAGGTATACTTGTGCTGAGTAAGACTCCCTTAATTACAGTGGGGGTGTGGGACACATGGCTTAGAGGATGGCTCCTAAATTTACATGATGGAAATGCCAACTGTGTGGTTTGAGGATAAATTGGGTGGGTACAAGTGTATGGTCTCACACCATCCTTATCTCCTGCTGTGTTTCCACAGGTGTCACCACTGTCCTCACCATGACCACACTAAGCATCAGCGCAAGAAACTCATTACCTAAAGTGGCGTACGCGACGGCCATGGACTGGTTCATAGCCGTCTGTTACGCCTTTGTGTTTTCTGCGCTGATTGAATTTGCCACCGTCAACTACTTCACCAAGCGCAGCTGGGCTTGGGATGGCAAGAAGGTGCTGGAGGCCCAAGAGATGAAGGTCAGCCCTGTGGCCAAGGACAGGGAGGAGTGGGTGGTAAAGAAACGCTGCACGAGAGAGCTGCGCTGGGGCCAGGAGTGGGTAACATGCAGCCCCACAGCACTCTGGAGGCTGGATGCTACTTACTGGGGTCCCCAGCTCAGGTCTCGACTGGGGCGGTTCTTGAGGGTAGAGGGAGGAAGGGCTTGGAGAACTGGTCGCTGTGCTTAGCTGGAGAAAAACACCCAGGCATGACTGTCACTTTTCCCTCTGTCCTTCTGCATGACCATTTGCTAGTGGAAACATGAATGCGTGCATGTTTTGGTCTTGCTCTGCCAGTGGTCTCCTCTCTCCTTTCTTCTCCCTCCAACCCACAAATGCTCTGCTCCATGTTGCTAGCATGCCACACAAACCCGAATATGCCACAGGATGCCAGTCTCACCAGTGGAGACGGTCCCACTCTGCTGTGTCCCCTGTGGCTAGTATCCCCAACAGTAGGTCTCCCCTGGCACAGGCAAGCATGGTACAGTGATGGGGAGGTCTAATGCTTGTGCTGTTGCGCACAGCTGCCGGTAGCTGCTGCTTTATAAGCTGGGGCCAAGAGGGTGGGTGGGAAGCAAGCAATCAGAAATGGCAACTGGCAGTAAATTAGTGCCTGGCATCACCCACGTTTTCCCTTCTCACTTGGAATCAGTCTTTCTGGCAGCTTCCTTCCTGACAGCCACCGTTAACCCTGCTCGTGCCCCCTCCCTCCTAACTGATTTAATCTCAGCTGTGCAGAGAAATCACTTACTGTAGCATGCTACTCCTTGTTGATATTTATTGAATCAATTTGAAAATCAGCTTTGTCCTTGTTCTTGGTTCTGGAGCCTTTATATTTTACTTCTTTGCATTTCAATGTGTTGTTTAAAATTGTTGTGGGGCTGTATGCAAATACCTGGCAGAACTGAAGTAACTTTTGGGAAGACAACAGCCAGTTATCTCTCTGGTATGAAGGTCAAAGCGGGAGAACAGAGGCCTTATGGAGAATCACAGCCGTCACTGGGTGTTGAATGTCTCTCTCTTGTGTTTCTTGGACTTTATCTGTTTGCTTTTGCAGCTGTGGTCTGAGCAGCAGACTCATGGCAGAAGGGCTCCAGAGGAGACCAGTTGTTGGTCTTCCACTTCCATCATGAACAATAATGCTAATCTGTCCTCTGGAGATGAGAGAAGCCTTTCCTGTGTCATTGGCATGAGTGAAGGATCAGAACAGGTCCTCAAAGCAGCCGTGTTTCTTTCAGGGATGGACAAATCAGCACGAAGTCAGGATTCACACAGTCTTGGGCAATGAACTGGGCACAGATGAAAAAGCAGCAAAAGCTCAAAAGCTTCAGTTATGGAAGAAGCATGCTCCTTAATGTATTCATTGACCCAGCACTGCAAGCCTAACAGTGCTGAAACAATAGTGTATGAGCATGCAGAATGTTTGTGCACGCAGTAATCAAACAAGAAAACAAAGCAGGACCAGGAATGTTTCAGAGGGAGTGCTTTTTGAGAGTTTGCTGCAATTGGTATGAGGCTGGAGAATTGGGAAGGACTCCAAATTTCAGGATGCTTTTTCAAACCAACCCTGATCTTTATCTTAGAAGGCTAATCCACTCCTGGTCTCTGCAGCTCAGAGAGCTCCCTGAAGAGTGGTGGGCTTTCAGGGACATTGGGAATATGATGTATCACCATATTTGCTTTTCATAGAATCATAGAATGGTTTGGGTTGTAAGGGACCTTTAAAATCATTTAGTTCCCCCAGATGGGAACTAGATCAACCCCCCTGCAATGGACAAGGATACCTTCCACTAGACCAGGTTGCTCAAAGCCCCATCCAACCTGTCCTTAAACACTTCCAGGGATGGGGCATCCACAGCTTCTCTGGGCATCCTTGTTCCAGTGCTTCACCACCTTCATAGTGAAGAATTTCTTCCTTAAATCTAATATAAATCTACCTTCTTTCAGTTTAAAGCCATTACCCCATGTCCTATCACGACATGCCCTTGTAAAAAGTCCCTCTCCAGATTTCTTGTAGGCCCCCTTCAGCAAGGCTATAAAGGTTTCCCCGGAGCCTTCTCTTCTCCAGGCTGAACAACCCCAACTCTCTCAGTCTTTCAGTGAGTCAGTGAGACTGACTGGTATGTAGTTCCCCGGGTCTTCCTTTTTTCCCTTTTTAAAAATGGGTGTGATGTTTCCCCCTTTCTAGTCAGTTAGAACTTCACCAGACTGCCACAACGTCTCAAATATGATGGATAGTGGCTTAGTAACTTCATCCACCAGTTCCCTCAGGACCCATGGATGCATCTTATCAGATCCCGTGGACTTGTGCACCTTCAGGTTCCTTAGATGGTCTCAAACCAGATCTTCTCCTACAGTGGGCAGTTCTTTATTCTCCCAGTCCTCTGCCTTTGCCTTCTGCAACTTGGTCAGTGTGGCTCGAGCGCTTGCCAGTGAAGATTGAGACAAAAAAGTCCTTGAGTACCTCAGCCTTCTTCATCTTTATTCCACTGAATATTTCCAAGCAATGAATTTGCTACGCAATGAAGGTGCCTCATTGGCTCAGTTTCAGCCTTTAATTAGCATTTCTAGAAACAATTGACAAGCTAGGTGGTTGAAACCGCAAAAGAAAGAGGAGGCAGAAGAATACTATTGGCATTTTAAAGTGTTTGCACCAGGAGTAAAACTACCAGTGACAAGCCCAAGCTGAGCCCCGGTCTCTGGAGAGCCTTCCCCCAAGCCAAAAAGAATGCTCTTTATTGATGTGATGGCAAGGATCCTCACTCCAGGTTTGATTGTTTCCTTGCATGAACATGAAAAAAATCAATAAGCATCAGCCCTTCCCTCACCTCAAATGTAGGCAGCAGCAATGCTTCCCATCCCATTTGAAATAACTACCTTGCAAAAGCTGCTGGTTGCTGACAGGCACTCCCAGCGTATTCAGTCTCTCAGGGCTGGTTCTATTCTTTTTTTCTACCTTTCAGCCAACCCATCAGTTTAGATGGGAACATTGTCTCCAAGGACGAGGACAAG